CCCGCCCCCGGCGGCCCCCGCCCCCGGAGGGACCCGCCCCCGGAGGGACCCGCCCCCGGAGGGACCCGCCCCCGGAGGGACCCGCCCCCGGAGGGACCCGCCCCCGGAGGGACCCGCCCCCGGAGGGACCCGCCCCCGGGGAGGGTCCGGCCCGACCTCAGCCCGCTGCGGGAGCTCAGCAGCGGGAGCCCGGCGACACGGTCCCGCCGGGACGGGGCTGGGCGCTGCTCCTGGATGCAGTGATGCTTTAAACAAGGGCAAACCGCGGGACCGCATCGCTGCTGAGCCGCGGGTCTGCCCCAGCGGTGCCGCACAGGTCCAGGTCCAGCTCACACAGGTCCAGGTCCAGCACACACAGGTCCCGCACACACAGGTCCAGGTCCAGCTCACACAGGCACAGCACACATAGGTCCAGGCACAGCTCACACACATACAGCACACACTGGTACAGGTCCCACAGGCAGGGCTCACACACGTACAGCACTCGCAGGTACCCACAGGTGCTGCAGGAGCCACAGCCTCACCCCACCTGTACTGATTTCCATTGTAGCAGGTGGAAAATGCAGATGTACTCTCCAGACTGGCTAAAGCAATTTATTAAATATGTGCAATAAAAATAACTTACATTTAAAACAAGTGACTCCTTTTCTTGATAAAATTTCCCAGATTTCAATATCTGATTTGTTCATCTAGCACTTAGGAACATCCAATCACTGTAAATTGCTCTCCTGGGGTAGTGGAACACCAAGAGGTCTTTTGGGATGAGATCAACTCCCGCATGCACAGACAGGGGCTGCTCTGGAATCGTCTTTGCAGTGACACATGAAAACGCCTCAGCTGACACTCAGGCACAGTTCAAATGGACAGGGATCACACTCTTTCCTTGCTTTCCCACTGAGGCCACATTATTGCCAAATCCAGGTTCCAGTCCAACATTTTGCAGACCTTCTTTCACTGCCCAGATCCACACCTGTGCAATGGATTCTCTCTGGAATATTTTGCTCAAGACTTGGTGGCACAGCACCAAACCTCACAGTGTTCTTCACTCGAGTGTTTATTTTGCCATTGCAGCAAACCCAAGTTGTTAATTAAGGAGCAACCTCAGTAAATCCACCTTTAAACATGACACTGGTGGGTACTACTGTACTCCAAAAGGGTCTTTTCACATTCTAAAAAATTGCCATTTTATTATTGCTAGGTTATTTCCTTTTTGTACCAGAGAGTAGTTTTCATCCTTACACCTCTGAGCAAGATTAATGGTTATTTTGAGATATTTATTATTTATTCAGCATACAGAATCAGGTTCTCAAACAGGAACCCATGTCACTAAAGGGAAAATAAAAATACCTATATATATATATGCTCCTAATGTGTGTGTAATTGTTGAGATATGTATGTGAAAGAGTTAGAGAAACGGTTTACACAAATATTTTTGAAATCCAAGCACACTGATGTACCTTGAAAACCCATAAGCTGGTAGGCAGACTGCAGGCAAACTAGAAAAACTGTATTACAAAATCAGCTCTGTATATACAAAACAACGCCACAAAGTCACTCCATGGGAGCAAAAAAAAACCCAAATTTCCCCTCATATTATCATGATCACTCATTCTCATGCCCATGGTACCAATTCCACACTGGAAAGCAACAGCTGGAACATTACAGGTAGAGATGTGAGAATTGCTGCTTTGGTACAAAGCTTCATGCCTTGGGTCTTAATAGACTTTGTCTCTCTGAAGTTGTTAAAGATGTACTCCGGTCTATAGATGGTTATTTTAATCAATATCTAAATAGAGAAGCTCAGTATTTGAGCTGAAAGTGCACTAAAGCAGGCAAAAAGGTCTAAATTTACTAATTCAAGCTCTTCAAGGCCCAACCAAGATTATTTTTTTCATTTCTGTAAGGGGCCATTTGTTGGGGATACAGACTTGGAGGGTTTAGTTGAACCCTCCTGCCAAGTGGGCTCATAAGGCACTTGGTGCACAGTGAGAGAGGCAACAATGAACTGTTACCTCCTGCAGAGTGGCACAGCACAAGAAAACATCCAACCAGTCCTCTGGCTTTTCCATTTGGTGCTAATTCCTGGAATTGAGCAGTGCTTTGGGTATAGCCCTGCTGCCTTTAGAACCCTAAATCTGACATACACATGAGGCCAGGCTTCCCCCAGGCGTGGCTCCTGTTCCTCAAGCACCTCACAGGACCCAGGGAAGAGACTTCTCTCCCCTGACCTAATTAATGTGCTTGAACCCATTAAATTACAGACATGGGATTGGAAAAGAGAGCACAGTTATCTGTAAAAATAATGGTTTTGTTTTAAAACATTTTGTATTTCCAACATGAGCATTCCTAGGAGCAAAGCGCAGTGCTGCAGTGACAGCCATGGGGATCACACCAGGCACTGCTCAAGGCTAAAAACAGTCCACACAAAAGATGATACAAGTAGCCCACAATTTTTAAATAGCTCTGAACAGCCAGTTATTCAGACAAAGGAAGAAATACTTGTCCTGTCATCGCTTTGAGTATGTTTTGCCACTGCTTTTATTTGGGCCCTCTCGGGTTCTGATCTTGCTTCCTATTGAAGGAGGTTGAATTTTTGCCCCTGAAGGACCCGGTTTCCTTAAATAGTGGCCACCCACTTTGGCTGCAAAGACAAAAACAGATCATTATTGCAAGCACATCTAGTCCCAGGAATAAATTTAATCCACCATTTTGATTCCCAAAATCTGTTAAATCTGAATGACTGAAGCAACCAGAAGCTGGCAGGCATTGAGCCTCATCATGTTCCACATCAGCAGTGCTCAGACTGAATGGTCAGGGCTTCTTTCCTATCTCTAGGAAATAAATCTCGAATCAGAGCTTACCCAGGCAGGATTTGCTTTTGGTTTCAATTCTAAGCAGCAGTAAATTAACAACTGACTGGCATCTCGTTAGCCAGTACAAACAGCAAAGCTGAGGACAGACAGGACTGTGGGTCCAGTTTAACACAAATAATGCTGAGTTTAACCCTATGATTCACTTAGGTCAGCTGGAATGGCAAATTCCACAGCTCATTCCAGGTTCCTGGAATAGTGACACGCAGATATGAGCAGAGCACAGCTCAGAGTGGGTGAACTCTGAATACACAGATGACTAAAATACTCCAAAGAGTCAGAAGGAGGAAAAGTTTGGGTGTTACAGACCAAAAGTTCCAGTGCTGTAGGCAGTTTGTTTAACTTCTGTGTTCTGGAAATAAAAGGATTTTCCATGTTCTTCATAAGGCAACTGTTGAAAAAAACCACCACCTGACATCATCAATGTCTCTCTGATGGTGAAAAAGCTGCACAATGATAAATCTGTCAGGTTCCTGAGTCTGGACTGGAACAGAAAAGCAGTGCACAGCACTCACTGTTCAGTTTACCCTGTAATTAGGATCAGATTAGCAACCTTTGATTGGAGGCTAAAAGCTCAATCAGGCTCTGGTTCCCTGTGTCAGCGTTCAGGAGCTTTCCAGAACACTGTTCAGCTGATTGTTCTATTCATGGTCACCTTGTTTGCTAAAAAAAAACCCTGAACTGATCAACTTATCAAATCTGCCAGTTTTCTCCACCAGCTGAGCTTGTGTCCTCCTTTTAACATGATCATTATTGCATGATTTTGGGAATTTGCTCCCCAAGCAAACTGCTCCAGCACAAGAACTGTCACTTAGATCACCCCAATGCAAACCACCAGTTGCACAGACCCAGATCTTGGGAGATTAAACACTCTCCTTAAGCAAAGGCAACACAGTAAAAAGCATAAATGTTATTATCATTAATTAATGTCTTACCAGGCTGCACCACAATGGTTTTGTTCATGGGGGATGTCCTCCGCTGGTTCATTTTACAGCCATCTCTGCCCATCAGGTGAGATCTCCAGGCCTGAAGTGAATTACAAAGAACTGATAATACAACTCCAGCAAATTTAGTCAATATCACATGGGCAAAATGATAATTGTGTACAGACTTTATATCAACAGCACTTTAATCTGCTTTTTTAAAAGCAGATTGCTATGAAATGGAAATTAATATCTCCATTATTTTAATATACCTTGAGAGGTCTATCACATTAAAACAACCTGTAACAACATCTGCCCAATGTGAAGGGTGGCCTCACCTCCTCTCCAGGGGGAAAGTTGTCATGGCACAAAGGGCAGTGGTTTGCCGTATTTTCTGGTCTGGCAGCTGAAATAATGTAAGAATTGCAAAGAAAGACTAATTTCAGACACAAGAAGAGAATCTGCATAGCAAGTGCATAAAACCACCCCATGTCTAACCCAGTTCCTGCCATGTTATCATTAACTGCTCCCAGAGAAGTCCTGTGTTTAAATCATCTTCATCAAAACAAGATCAAAAGGAGTCTCAGAATCCAGAATCACATGGATTGGAAGGAACCTTAAAGATCATCCAGTTCCCCCTTATCCCATCATTCCAGACTCTTGCACATAGCCTCTCTCCACTTGTAGTCCCTTCAGTCCCTAATGGAAGGCCACAATTAGGTCACCCCAAAGCCTTTTCTTCTCCAGGCAATCCCAGCTCTCTCGGCCTTTCCCCATAGCAGAGGTGACCCATCCCTCTGATCAACTTGGTGCCTCCTCTGAACCTATTCCAACAGGTCCATGTCCTTTCTGTGCTGGGATACTGCTTAATCTACAGGGATATGGAAGAGACTTTCCAGTCTTTTCACTCACCCTCCCCACACACATTCACAGAGGCCAAGCACTGGAAAACTCAGGTATTTATCCCAAATTTATTCCCTTCTGAGAATTTACTTAGATCCCTAAGTCCAAAGCACAAGCAGCCTGAATTGCCAAAGATCCTTGGTGTTTAAAAGTCCGAACCTCTGATATTCCACTTTCCTGTTTGGAGCTACTCACGATTGCAAACCCTGCTCTTTATGTGTCTGGGCAGCACGTCCCTGGGCACGGCCTCTCTGCAGCGTGGGCACCTCCCAAAGCTGTCCCTTTGGTCACAGTCGATCAGCAGGTGCTCCGTCAGGCTGGAGATCTCCAGCATCTGCAACACAGCCAGCAAGATTTGTGCTGAGCAAACAGGGATGGGATTAAAAAACCATCAGTTTAGCCTCACCTTCCAAAATGACAAAGGGACAATTCAATTTCAGTCCACTTATTAACTCATTTTCTAATCCTGCTCTTTTTCAAAAGCACCACCCAAATCACACAGGTGCATTCAGAATTCACCTGCCCAAGTGTTAAATATCTTGCAACACCTCTAAGCCAGAATAACAACAGTCCATGACTTAGTAGCTCTGGGAAGTTCAGGCTGACCTGTTTGCAGTGCTCACATCGGGTTAACATGGGGCAATGCTTCCAGTAATGCAGATCCAACCCTTCCTCTGTGAAGGATTCATTCCTTTCACCACAAAAAATACACAAGCTGGGAAAAAAAAAAGCAAATGTCAGTGACATCAGAGAGAAACGGATGAGCCCTGCTCCTTCTGTTCCAAGCTGTTCTCAAGAACGGCCAGTATCTTGAAAAGTTTCTTTTCCCTGTGTAGAGATGAGCTTAGGATGAGGCAGGTACTAGATTGTAGGGTATTAACTGTAGGGTAAATACAATTATAGAACATTTCTTCTTATAGAATGATTAATTCCACAGAAGCTCTGAGAGCAGCCCACCAAAACTGACTTACCTGGCTCCAGAATTTCCAAGGGCTTCTTCTATGCCCTCCTCCTCTGACACCCAGCAAAGCCACACCACATTTTTCCCTTATTTCACACTGGCAGCTGAGCATTAAACTGTGGCTATTTCTTATCCCACAAGCAAATACTCAGAAAAAAAAGTACAAAGTCACACCATCCAAGAACTTAAAAAAAAAAAAGCACCTAGGATTGCCTAGTGATAATTCCGAATCTGTTAGAAGAGATTTTAGTCTTTATTGTTTCACTGCTGAGGGTATTAGCTTTGATTTACTGGAAAAACGTTATTACTGTTAGGAGCTCACAGGTGACACCAAGGGCTTAAGGTGATTAGAGGCTCATCTCACTTACTTATCCAGGTAATTTGCAACAGAGGAAAGTTCCTCCTGAATCTTTGCTGCTGTAACCCGGGGGCCTTCATATTCCTGGTAACCTGTAAGAAGAGAACTATTAAACCAAGATCACATTTTAACTCACCTACATTTCTTAACTCTTATTTGAAACTACCTACCTTGACCCTCTGTCTTCTGAAAATCAGATTCTTTCTCCTATTGAACAAAGAAATTTAACTCAGAAATTTGTCTTCCAGAGAGAAAGGGAACACACTACATTCTGACTTCTGTGTGGAATTTAAAATTTAGAAGCAGAGCCAACACACTACAACATTTGTGCTTCTGGTTCTATGGCAAATCTCTTGTATTAAGGTATTATTTTATATTATAAAAGTATTATTATATTGTTATATTATAATAAAGAATCCAAATTTTATGTTATGTTAGGAAAAACAACACCCAGATTTTAAGCTGGACTGCTGAGGAGAAAAGTCACCCAGTGTATGTCTGGAGTTTCTCACTCTTTTTAATGAGACAACACCAATGTTCATTATCTAAGTCCATGATATCCAAGAAGCAAAGGATTAAATCAACCTTAAACTGAAACATGCTCACCTCTTCAGCTTCAACCTCTGCTTGTAACTCTAACTTTAAAGCTGCTGGGTGACCTTTTAGAACTTTCATTTCTTCCTTTTTCTGTTTCTCTGCTTCTGTTGCTGCTTTTCTCTGTGCCTAGCAGGAAATACTCTGTCAGTTCCAAAAGCTCTGGAACCATCCCTCATACACAAGAGATAGCAAAACACATTAGCACACAACTCATGGTTCATACAGGACATGAAATGTCCTGCTTGGTTAAGTGATGGGTGTGATACAGTGACACCTCCCTCTTCCCAAATTCCTCTGCACTACCTGAAAGGAACACACAGCAAAGCCATTGGGCTTATTGTTCCTAAGGATTGACAGTAGAAAATAGCATTTGTGTTTTCCAAACTGCTTGTCCATCTCAGTATTCCTTGTTGGCTTTATTCCCAAGAGTGAGTATAGGGAACACACTCAGCATTCCACACTAAGGAACATTAACCACACACCTGAAGACACTCTGCTACCTGTGCAGACTCCAGCCATGAACTCAGGATACTACTCAGCCAAATGCCATGTCTGAAGTGGCCCTGTATGTTCTGCCTCTCATTACCTACCCTCAGTTCAGTTTCAGAAGATTTCCCATCGATTTTGGCAAACCCCTCAAAGAGAGTTTTGTAGCGCATGGTCTTGCGGGCGTTGGCATCGTCCGGTGGGAGATATTCCAGCACAGCTGCCCTGTGCTCCCTGTACATGGCAAAGATGATCCGCAGTACCACCTCACGCACCTCATGAGCCCTGTGCTCCAGAGCTCCTGTGGCAAACTGGAAATAATTATAAAAAAATTATGTCTCTATTTTCTTGCATTTTTAAGGATTTATTAGTTTTATTAGATATTATTAGTCCAAGACTCTCCTGCAGCAAAAGAAATCTTCCTACAAGACACGTTTTTGCAAACACTTATTAACCCATTCGCTCTTTTTTCCAGATATTAACATCTCGCTTCATAGAATCCCAGAATGGTTTGGGTTGAAAGGGATCTTGAAGTCCATCTCATTCCACCCCATACCATGGGCAGGGACACTTCCTACTAGACCTTCCTACTTGGTCCAAGACCTGTCCGACCTGGTCTAAAATTACCAGCACTGTTGATTAGGGGAATACACCTTTTCAGGAATTCTCAAGCACACCAAAAAAGCCAGGCAAGCCCCCAGAAAACCATCAGAAAATCCTGCATGTGCTGTAACCTCGACCTCTTACCTTCATGACATTGTTGATAGTAAACCCAGAGTTTTCAGTCCCCATGGCTCGCAAGAGAGATTCCACCAATTCCACATGACTCATTGCCAGGTGTGTTGGGGAGTTTGGTTTTAATGTTTTAACCAGGTGGACTGGAATAATCTGGAGAGGTCTTACTTCAGGGCACAGTGCCATTTCCTAGAAACACACAGACTCAGTGAGTACACAGATGCTGGATGAGGATAATGACATGTCTCTAAAAAGCAGAGTTTTCTCATCTCTGTAGGTCACTTGAAGCAGAGAACACAAGAGTCACACCTGCAGCAGCAGCAGGTACCCCCAGACTGCTCCAGGTGACCCTGATTTGGCAGGGGGTTGGACTGGATGATCTCCACAGGGCCCTTCCAACCCCACCTATTCTGTGATAAGTTGTGATAAGATTCTGTGGTAAGCTGTAACACTTCACAGCAGCCAAGCCTGGTCTCACAGTCCACTCTGATCAGGTGTTTCTCACCTATGAGCTCCCTAATTTGAAGGGAAACACCCACCTGGATGAAGGTTGAAGCCAGAAGACGAAGACGGGATGAAGAGTCTCCTGTTCTAGAGAGCAAATGTGGCAGGGTTTTTTCCACACAATGAGAAGTTTCTAGCTTTCCTAGTTTGTGTTTTGGTACATATTGGGTAATGATCATTTTTAGAAGTTTCAGGGAAGCCTGAAAAACCTAAGTTAAAAAGAAAAAGGAAGCACTGAGAAAAAATAACACAAAGACCCCTGTTTTCAGACAGTAGAGTAAAACCTATTCTTAGTCAGGAATAACAGTAACACCCTATAATGGAAGCTTCTTCAGACAACTGTCTTCCAGAAAACCTGTTGCTAGGACTTTGGTAAAAAGCTTCAGAAATCGTTTCATAAAGAGTACCAGCTCAGTTTTCTTCTTCTAATATAAGGTTTATTTGATGCCCAAGCATCCTTCAGCTAAGTGTAGTCCCTTGAGCTGGAAACTAGAAGTTAATTCATTGCTGTATTTCAACTTTAACAAAGAAAAAGAATCAACCTAACTGCACATTTACTGCATCAGCTCATGGCTCAGCCCAGGGCAGCGTTTTTCCATCTGTTCAATGCCAGACATTGCCCAATTGTTTTGGGAGTTATGAGGGGATTTGTTTTGATTTTGGATTTATTTAGCAGTAGATTTATCAACTATTTGTTCCAACTCTCGGTTCTGCAATTTCGGCTGCCAGTCCACTGGAGCATCAAACCTATCCCAACTTACTGAAGACACAGTGTCTTTGATGGCCCTCCTCACAAGGAAAACAGCAGCCCTCAGCATGTTCCTTAAATCCTCCTTTGGAGTGTCCACTGACACTTCCATCAGCTTCTTGTACACAGTCAGTAAAGCGTCCTCTCGACATGACCAAGTTCTGGAATACGCTCCTGAAACCTGAGCACAGAACAAGTCTATCTCTTAAAAGATCCCTACAGGTATTTCAATACATATTTAACAGTTATATAGAGAAACAGCCTCAAAGAACATGAATTGAAGCATGAAATCCCCAGGTGTTCCCCACAGGAATCTGGCTTTATTAAAAGCACACATTTTGAAGTGAGATGAGTGAAATGGGATTAACAGGTCAGGCTCACGGAGCCCTTCCAGGCACAGTGAGGATTTCTCTCCCTGCAAAAGAAAGTGGCAAGTTATGGGTATTCTAGGTTCACACCCTAAAGCAGTCTGGTGGATCCTGTCTGTTTATCAGCACATCACATAATCGATCATCAAAGCTACAGATTTGCTGAAATGCTGTAAACAGGCATCCATAGAGCCAAGGTCAAATTTTAAGCTCAGGTTTCAAAACAGCAGCTCTGAGCACATAAAAACCCTCTCAACACAGAGCACTGTAACCCATAGGTTTGTTTTACTGGGTTTTGGGCTCTTACCAAAGTCTCTCCAAAAACTTCCACAACAGGGCTGGCTTCCCTCAGTGCCTTTTTTGTGAGCAGTTCAGGCTCCTCAGTATTGCCAGTCCTTGGAGTATCACCCATGCCCTCTTCAGTCACCTCTGGCTCAAGGCAGGCAACAGCTTCATCCACCTGCTTGCAGATGGTTGGGAGAGGTCTCTCATCATAAGGTAAAAATTCAGCCTAGCAGAAAAGACAAAATTTGTTGTTCTGGAAATGACTTAGATGTAAAGTGGTTTTATCACTAATTGGATTCACCTCAGTGCAATTTTCTCCCATCAAAGCAGCATCATTCCCCAGTTAACCATGAGAATAACCACATTATTTGGAAGGCTGGACATCAGATTGTTTACTCTGACAGGTTTCTGTAGTAACAGAGGGAACACTACTCACATTTTCCTTGGAAAACGCTTCCTTGGAGGTTGTGGGCTGAGTCCGAGGAGAAAGAGGGGACTGGGAGGGAGCAACAAGCTCAGAAGAAGTGGGATCCACCAACTGCTCTTCCAGCACAGGCTCTGCCCTCCAGGGCTCTCCTTGGGGTGGGTCTGTGGGCTCAGGAGGGGAGCTCTGGGGGCTCTCAGTGCTACTCACAGATCCCAAAGGCAACTCAGGTGGCTTTTGGATCTGAGAAAGGGAAAAAGATTTTTACAGCAAGGCTAAAAATGTGTGCTACAATCAGTCAGTACATCTACAGCCCTGTCAATGGGCTTCTGGGGATTTCAAGTAAACATTGAACCTGGCTCACAGGTGTGTCATCATTCCCACTGGATGCAGCTTTATGAAACAGTCAGAAAATAATTCTGTGTGGGGAAAGACTATAAAACCTCGTGTTCTGAGAACATTACATGACTGTATGTATATAAAAAATCACATGGAATCTGTATTATTAGCCTTGATACCAGCCTAAGCCTCCTCTAACCCTCCAAAATACGAGAAAGTACCTTATTCATCTGCATCAGGTAGTCTTGAAATTATGCAAAACATTCAGAATTCTAATGCCATTTTCTTGAGACCTCAACATTGTAACAGGATTTATGGAGAACTAAACACATTCATAAAACAACACATTGAGAGTCTTAGGTTGGAGAAATCCACAATCCAAACAGAAAACTGAAATCTTCAGTAAATCTCGAAATTTCCATTAACCTGTGAATGAAGTTTGGTTGCTCTGCCATTTCTATTTAGAACACTCTGCTGGACTAACAGCACCCACCAGCAGCTTTGTATCCAGGAGGTCGTGCAGGTCCAGCTGCTGGTACACCTTTAGCCTGTACTCATCCATCTGCTCCTTCTTTTTCTTGGCAAGGTCATAATCCTCCTTTTCTACAGCGTAACGCTTCTCCACCTCGTACCGGCCGAGTCTCTCCCCCACCTAGGATTGGTACAAATCACCTTGAAATCATCTTACTGAACACTTCTTGGAATCACTTTACTGAGCATTTCTTGGAATCATCTTACTCTACTTGTTTCATTGCTTCTAGCCAAATTACTCAATCAAGCTATCTGATTTTAAAATTATTCTTTTGGGAAATATATGGAAAATCATTACAATTCCATGCAAACACCAAGGCCCTGATGGGCCACTGGAGCTCTGCTCCACTTAGGTATCAAAGATATTCCAATAACACCTTCTGCAAGTCTGCAATGGCCTGTTTGAGCTTCTTGGCATGGTCGTAGTACTCGAGACACACAGCTTCACGCTTCTTCTCATCCAGCCTCCGGATTATCTGAGCCACTTCTGGGTCCTGGTACATGTCAAAGGCCAGATCATCCAGAGGTGAAATGGAGTCACGTTTCCTGAAGGCATAAAATGAATAAAGCAAACCACAATAAGGTAGGCTTCTCTTTTCATTAGCAGGGAATCAACAAAACACAGATCAACAACTGCTTTACACCAAGCAGAGGTTTTGCCAGGGTGTATGCAAAGAACATCCTTACCCAAGGTAAGTTCCATCTAAGGCAGGGTCATCCAATTTAATTCCCAAGTAGCGATCTATCAGCTTCTCTCTGGAAGGCTTTGGAAAGGTGGGGGAAAAACATCTTAATGCACATGCCACAACAGCAGGTGTGTGCTCAAGACAGAATTCTGACATCAGCTCTGCAACACAGAGCGCTTGAGTTTTGGGGCACATTGAAGCAAGAGAACCTGGAGATGCTGAAAATGAAAACATCCCAACTAATTTTATTTTAACTTTTCTATTCCCATATTAGGCTCGACTTTCTTGCTTCAAGATAACATTAAAAATAAATTAGTGCTACACAGGTCTGCTAAAGCACAGAACTGGCACAAAAAAAAGTTCATCCCATTACTCCAGGAAGTAACTTGTACTTTTTTCTGTACTTGAAGAAATGGAGCATCAGTAAAAGGAGAGGGATGCTTTGGACTTACACTGCTCATGCTGTCATTGCCATAGTCTTCTGGATCCCCGATGATGTTGACAGCTACCAGGGCAACCTGCAGAAATTCACAGAAAATTAAATGTGTAAGCTCATTCCTCTTTTCTTGGAACAAAAACGACAGGGCCTGTGGTCAAGAGTGCGATATGGAAGCAGAGAGAAGCAGAGTGCTAAATGTGCTTCCCTGCTCCATTGAAAATGTATCACCAAACCTACAACCCCATTGTGCTGAAATGAGTGCCAGCAGAACTGAGGCAGGTGTTTGTGTGTCTGTACCATGGTGGCTGTGCAACATCTTCACTTAATGCCACAACAGGTCCAAAACACTCAGAGTCCCTTGGGACCCCAAAGCTGCTCTCAGAGGGAGTTCTTTGTCCTCAACACAGACCCTGCTGTGTGGGCTAAACCACAGCAAGAGTGACAGAATGTGCCCTCGACTCTGCTCTGGATGAGGTGCACCCACCTGATCCAAACTCACTTCTAGTCTGTTATTCATGTTTTTGTGCTTTAAAATGAACTAAAATAAACACAGGGGCTTTCAACCAACATTTTTTGCTTCTACAAATCAAGGGAGCAGATTTCTGTGCCTGCTCTTTACTACAGAAGTGTCACCTAGGTTACCAGGTAAGGACTTCTAACTCACCTGCCCATACAAGTTGTATTTATTGACATAATTTTTATGGAAAATCAGCTTGAGGTACTGGCCAACTGCATCCATGTACACAGATTTCAACTCTCGAGCTCTGAAATCAGTCTTCTCATTGTCTGAGAGCGGGACATAACTGGGAAGGAAAACATAACACATGAGCAGATGATACATCCAAACACACAGGTGGATTTCTGACCCTCAGGTTTAAAACTCCCTCATAACTGAAACAAAATGTGCTGTCAGCTGGCAAGGCAATTCACCTGCATCTCCAGCTTTGTCACAGATATAAAACAAATCAGGATCTCTCAGCTGCTCACACAGCATGTCCACATCACACACAACCCATAGTATTATTTTCCCCTGAAGCTTTTCTGGTTAAGACAATAAACTGATCCAGAATTTTCTGTCTCACCCAAGTCTCTGAAACCTCTCTGACTGATACGGAGCAAAGTATTCAGGCAGACTTTCACTGATGTAGAATTCAATTTTGCTTGCAATCATGTACTGGTGAGCAAGCAGCTGCAGCTTCCGGATCCGACACCTCTCCACCAACTGCAGGATGATTTCCTGGGGGTACTGACAGAGCCTGAAAGAGACACAGTTTCTGAATTCAATCATCTTTTTAATGTGGACTTCACTTCCAACTTAAGCAACATTTAATTATGGAACTTCCAAGTTATTAATTGTAAGCAAACATTACAAATATTGTAAGAATCCCAGGAGTAGAGTGGAAACACTTTTCCTTTCCCTTCCCTTTACTGCGTGCATGTGTTCAGGTATGTCCTGCACACATTTAGAAGATGTGCTGAGTCAAATGGATTTTTCATATTAAGCCAGAGCAATTGCAAACTCCAAAACTGCCAAGAACAAAACCAGTTTTCATCTTCATTTTCCAGGACTTTATTCAAATACAATGCAGTGCCTTTAGGCATTAAGCAAGGTGTTTTTTTCCCCCGGATGAGGGTTTCATGGGATTAAAGTAACTTTTTTTTGCTTTATCAGTTTGTTTTTTTGGTTTACGATACTGCAAACTGCTCTGACCATGCACGGTACATCTGCCACTCGTTTTAAACTTGGCGCTTCAGAAATTCAGTGCTCCAAGACCATCCCCTCACAGTACCTGGGCGATCGCCACCCATTCACTGTCGGTGCGTGAACCATCAGCTCCCGAGCACTGAACCCATCCTCATGTCCCGACGAACTGACCACAGTGAAACCGATCTTGTGTGGCATCCTGGGGAGCTGAGCTAGTCACAGCCACAGCCTTCAAGCTTAAACTCATGCCTGGAAGGATGACAAAAATCCACTAAGGCACTACTGTTAAAGAATTGCATTCTGTGGTCTGTCAAGTCAGTAAATGATGAGAGCAAATATATATTCCCTTTAATTAACATTGGCACCATGAACGTTCTTTTGGTGCAGCTTTGATTAGTGCTGAGCAAAACGAGGATTTAGATCACTTGCAGAGCAGTCTGCCAATAAAGTAAAACTGCTAATCCAAGATGGACCTTGAAACTAAAAGTTCCAAATGCATACAGAAGCAACCTGTACCTGCACCATGCTATGTGTTGGCGTCAGTCTTAAAAACGAGATTCACTTAATAAATTATAAAAAGAATTTAATATAAATAAAAGACAATTAGGAGACATAAGAAATAAAGCAAAGGGTTAAAACGGCCGGGTGCCTTGGCGTGCTGCCAAGAGCACCCCTGGTATCCTAGGGATCTCCTTTTTATCCCCTCCTTGCTGTGAGGGGTTAATGCATATTCAAGCATGTCCCCTCCCTGGTTCCGCCTTCTTGGATCATGCTTTTCACAGTTTTATTTTCTGCTGGTCATCATATATTTTTTTTGCTGGTCATCATTATTCTTGCTGGTCAGCATTTTTCTGGAGTTTGGTTTCCTTTCTTTTTGCAAATGGTCAGGGCAGATAACAGTCCGGGGCCATCATCCTTCCCCTGACGACAGATGGGTTTCATATCTTCTGCTGATAACAGTTTGGCTTCTATTGTTCTCTTGATAAGAGTTTGGGCCCCACTGTCCTTGCCCTCTGGGGTTTCCTTGCCTTGTACCTAGGAAATTCTTTTAAGCTTAAGACTTGTTAGCAAGAAAAAAGTACATACATAGCTAAAAAGTATTTAACATATAATATTCATCTGCGAAAGCCAATATCACAATACAAATTTATAACAAGAGGAACAAAAAGAAAAGCACAATTAGTCTCTTTGTCAGATTAAGTCTCTTTGGGAAAGCCACGCACCCACTGCGGCTACTGCTGGGGACACCGCTTCCCACCCCGGGCCGTGCCGGTGTTATGGCACCAACACCGGCCCCGTCCCTCCCTCCCCGTGCCGGCCCCAACCCCGCAGGAGGCGCAGGCCCGGAAGGGTCACGGCCGCACCGTTCCGAGGGAACAGCGAGGACGGGCGGCGGACAAAGCACGCGCGGGCCTGGCGGGACCTCGAGGGATCCCCGGGCCGGAGGGAGAGCGGAGGGCGCTGCGCCGGGCCGGGCCCCACCTGCCTCAGCGCGGCCCCATCGCCGTTCTCATGGCAACGCGGCCCCGCCGCGCAGGCGCGACCGCCCCGCCGGCCCCGGAGCGCCTGCGCGGAGCGGCCCCGGCCCCGGCCCCGGCTCCAGCCCCGGCTCCAGCTCCGGTACAGACACCGGCCCCGGCCCTGGCCCCGGCCGCGGCTCCGGCCGCGATACCGACACCGGTCCCGGCCCGGCCATGGCGGAGCCGCTGCGGCCGTTCCGCCTGCGCGGGTGCGGCGGCCCGCAGAAGTTCGGGGTGGCGGCCGGGAGCCTGCGCGGGTTGCTGAGGAAGGGCTGCCGGCTGCTGCAGGTGCGGACCGGACCGGACCGAGCACTGCCGGGCTGCGGATGGTGCGCGACGGGCGGGGGGCTGCCGGGTGCTACAGGGACGGGACGGGGAAGGGACGATACCATACCAGACTGGGATGCTGCTCACGGATGCGGGGCGGATCTGCCGATGCTGGACGGGAGCGGGACTGCCGGGTGCCGCAGCTCCGGGCCGGGGCTGGAGCTGACGCGTGCGGAGCTGCAGCCGCTGCGGCCGGGATTGCCCGGAGCCGGGGTCCCGCCCGCATCTCACCCGCCCGTGGGGCAGCTTCCCTTGGCAGGCAGTCGCCTCTGCCTCTACGAGGACGGCACGGAGCTGACCGAGAGCTACTTCCGAGCGCTGCCGCCGCAGACGGAGCTGGTGCTGCTGGGCCCCGGGGAGAGCTGGCGGGGCTGTGAGTGCGGGGCCGGGCGGGGGGCGCGGGGGCAGCGCCGGCCCCGGGGGCTCAGCCGGTGCCCCCTCACCTGCCCCAGGTGCCAGCGACATCGAGCGGCTCCTGGCCGCGTTCTGCAGCCAGCAGGGCGCTGTGGTGGAAGCTGCGCGGAGGCTGCTGACGGACGAGCGGGCTCCCCACAGGCAGAAGCTGCTGGCGGATCTCATCCACAACCTGAGCGAAAACATCCTGGCCGAGGACAAGGAAGACGACAAGAAATGGTTTGAAGGTATGTTTTGTTGCCGTAGGAAGCTGCTACGGGACTCCCAGGTCATCTCTGCTCTGAAAAGTCACTTCTGTCAGTTTTGTTGCTCTTAAAGCAAAGTTTGGGAGCTCTTCTGGCTGGTGGGATTGGGTACTTGGTCAGGGTTTAGTTATCCCTTCCATTTAGCATGTGTGTTTAGGTTTCTTTAAAGTATATGCGCATTTACTATCAGATGATGTTTTTTTTTTAAATTTTTAAAATCCCTATTGCTTTAATAAAGATAGCTCTGCAATACATTTCCCCCCATTAATATAATTTGCATTTATGATGTTTTAATGATTTGCTAATAGTATATGGATAACTTGGACATCTCTGCCAGCTGAGTGTTATGTTCTCTTTACACTCTGTAAGTCTCCTTTCCCATTCCCAAGCCATTAACTGCAGTTCTTCCCCAATAATTCTGTTTTCCTTTCACAATTTCTTGGTGTTCCACATATACACAGTAACAAGAAACATATAACAATACCGCTAGTGCTCTGAGCAGATCCTCTACAGCATCCTTTTAAGTGCTTAAGAGCAGGGTAGTCCTGAAACAGTAAAATAAAAATGGGAAACTAAAAAACCTTTGCAACCTAAGTTAGTGGAAAGCTAGGATGAACTCCCAGTTGGGCAGGAGCTGTGCTAAGGTACAAAATCTCATTTCATCCAGGGCTGGAGTCTCGGTTCAAGAACAAATCCAGCTACCTGCGGCACAGCTGTGAGAGCAGAATGCGGGGTTACTTGAGAGAGGTAAAAGTTTCTGTTGAAGTAACTTATGTCAAGCTGCTACAGTAATTCTGTGGCTGCAGGAATATAAAGTAATTCTACAGTGTAATATTGTGATTGTAGAAAAGGGCCTCAGGCTGCCTCAGGAACCGAGGAATGATTGTTCTGTTTCCCCCCTCTAGGTTACTGGTTTTATTTCAAACGTTCATCCTACAGCACAAGATGCCTACAGAGGGATAATCGACCTGATGGCAGATAAACTGAAATCTGTGAAGTACAATGGGTGCTACTTTGACAGAAGGGAGAAGGAGGAGGCAGTACGCCTGTGCACTGCAGAGGGGTGGTTCTCCTGTCAGGTACCTGCAGCCTTCCTGATGAATCATGGAATCATTTGGGTTGGAAGGGACCTTAAAGATCATCTCAATCCACCCCTGCCATGGGCAGGGACACCTTTCACTAGCCCAGTTTGCTCACAGCCCCATCCAACCTGGCCTTGGACACTTCCAGGGATCCAGGGGCAGCCACAGCTTCTCTGGGGAATCTGTGCCAGGGCCTCACCAGCCTCACAAGGAAGAATTTCTTCTGTATACCTGACTTAAACTTCCCCTTGTTTAAGTTTGATCCCATTCCCCCCTCAACATCAGAGGAAGGAAACAGCTTTCTGGGTGCAGTGTCAGGCTGGGGGGGATGTGGGGTACAGGATCTCTCTGGTTCACTAGCATATGGCAGCACCATGCTGGGGTGACAAGCGTGACACCTTTCACAGGGACCTTTTGACAGAGACAACTGCTCGTGTAAGCATTCCATCAACCCCTACAGCAACAGGGAAAGCAGGATCCTCTTCAGCACCTGGAATCTCGACCACATGTATGTACCAAGTGTTAATCCAGACCTACTTGCATTGTGGCCTTCAGCTTCATCAGAAAGGTTTAGCCTTAGTCTTTTCACCCCGCTGTGCAGTCAGCTCTGCTGTGAATATGTTGTGAGAAAAAGTGCTGGGATGCTGCAGTTGTTCTGAGAACAAAACCCTGAAGACAAATGTTGCCTCTCATTAGCTGCTTTGCTTCTGTGCAGGTTTTTTTATAGAAGCAAACTGTACTATCTGTGTGAATTCTCCTCTCTGGCAAAGCCCCCTCTGACCCATTTCAAATGTTGGTGTGAAGCAAACAAGATTTGCTAAACTAATTTCCTTGGGGGAGAAAAAGTCATATGCCTAGTTATGGAGAAAGAATTCCATTTCTGCCTGTCTCTGAAAGAAAGATGGAGGCTTGATTATTCTGAAAAAACTCCTGATAGCAATATTGTCTTCTCTTTTGTGTCCCCAAGAATTGAGAAGAAACGTGCTGTTGTCCCAGAACTGGCAGAAGCTGTCAAAACACGAGACGGGAGAGAAGTGAACTGGGAATACTTCTATCAGCTGCTGTTTACCCTGGATAATTTAAAACTTGTACATATTGCTTGCCATAAGAAAACCAATCATAACCTTAGCTGTGACAAAACCAGAATTTACAGAAAGAGGAAGCAAACCCATGAGATTTCCTAGTGCTGTCTCTGCTTTTTTCAATCATGTCAGTCTGTTGTTTTTAAATAGCTCCAATTTCTTAAATAAGAACTATTTGAGAGTCCCTGGCACAAGACTGGCTGGGTAATCCAACCAGAGCCTCACAAAGCACATTCCAATATCCCATTTAATTCTTCTCTCCTGCCTTCCCACTCCTTACAAGCTTCCCTCAGCTCAAATCAAGTGTGATAAAAGTACAAAATGAGCCAAAGGCTGATACTGATTCTACCATGTCATCTCTGGCCAGCGTTGGCCCAAAACTCATAGTACATGGAAATGAAATTTGGACAAAACATTTCTTACAGACTAACCTGCATGGGCTCACAGATACCTATTCCTCTGGAGATTACGCCAAACAAAGAAGGATTTAGGATCATATTTTCCTCTATCTTTCACAGGTAGCAACCACTGTATTTCAGGAGTGCCAAAGGTGATTCAGCAGCAGAGCTGCCACCTCACCTGTGCCAAACTCCCGCCCTCATGCCCACCTGCCCCTTTGCCATTGCTTCAGATGTGCATCTCCCAGACAGAAGAGCAAGGCCATGGCATTTCCTCACATTTCAGCTTTTCCAGCCTTTGTTTGCCATCTTCCCTGCTGATTTCCTTCATTACCCTTTCTGCCTTTTCAGCTTGAGTTTGCTTGACGCACCACCAGCAAGGACAGCTATAATGATCATGTTTACAGTAATGTTTACCCACTGCCTTGGAGAATATTGCTTTGGTAAAACATTTCCTACCTCAGGCAGCAACAAATCAGGAATAGTTCAATTTTTTACTTGAATTTTTTTTTATGCCAGCTGATAGCAACTGAACTTTTGGGATTGTCAATGTAAATGGTATGAACTTTTTAAATAAAAAAGTGCCCCCACATCTGTGTGTGTGTGAGTACATGGAGGAGCACCAAGAGATTAATCGGGTGTGATAGAGCATGAAGGGAAATGTGTATATGAATTGAGCACCAGCTATTTTATTGCTCTGTAAATAACTAGGGAATACTCTATTTTCCTTCATATTGTTGGTTCTGGATCAGTTACTCCACATGGAATTGTGTGGATACGGTATTTCTGTCTGAGCCCCAAATTACTGGGTCTTGGAAGCTTTGCTACAGAGAGTATTGATTGACTTTACACAACAAACTCAGTCCCCTCCCAAACACTGCAAGCTGAAAAAGCAAAGAGGTGCATTTTAAACACAGGATTTCTAATTCCACTGCATGCAATCGATCCTTCCAGCTTCCCTTGCTGCATTATTTGACACTGGGGAGGGCAGCACTTGGAGGATTTACTGACAAACCCAGTGTCACCTGTGTGACACGTGTCTCCCAAACTGAAAATGCATTTTGCACAGTGAAACGAATGTCTGTGTGTGAAACTGTGTTTGCTAGAAAGAGCCAGCAGCAAACACAGCACTGAAGGCATGCTGGGAGGAGCTGCTGCAACACAGAGCTGGGCTGGAACTATGAATATGCAATTAAAAAATCTGGATTTTTCCATGTTACAGAATTAGAGTGAAAAGGAGCCAAGAAACATCTTTGACAGAAACAATGCATCAGCTGGAGTGGAAATGGGAATGCATTACCATGCCATACATATGCAATTTGTTTGCCTTACAACTTTTGAATGTTTAACAGGCTCTAGCTGTAGAAATTAATATTTATTTAAACCATCTGCTGATAACATTTTCTCTCTATTTTTAGAAACATAGAAGGAGTTATAACAATAAATATCTAGAAACTTATTGCATAATCACACTTTCAAAGAAATATTCCCACAAACACTGGGTGAATTAACAGTTCCTAGAAGTGGCTGAGGTTGCTCCTTTTTTTTTAAACATGCAGAGGGGGCTGCCCCACAGCCTTAGCAATCTTCCTCTGTCCATCAAATCCAAGGGATGGTATTCCTTGTGTATCACCACCAAAGCATTTGTTTCCAAAATCCCTGCTGGAAACAAGCTGAAGATCAATAAAGGACAACTTGGAGCAGCAGGTGGAGGGAGGAGGCAGCACCATGGGGTGGGTGTTTGGGGAGCTGATGTGCAATGGAAATGTGCTGAACTCCCAAAGATGAGCACACTGAACTCACTCTGACATCCTGCATTTCATTTTGCCAGTAGAACTGCATTTTAGAGGTTTAATTGGTCCTGGGTTAGGTGTAAACAACCCACACAAGGGAGACCCTTGACCTTCTTTGTACCAGGGAGTCAGTTTTCTCCTTTATTACCTGGATGCCAGGGACATCACAGAATGAAAAAGAACCTTGCCCTAGCATCCTTTTCTTGACCATTTTATAAAAAAAATTGAATGAAATCAAATACTTCAAGACAGAGGCTCAAATTTACAAAGAAACAATATGAACTTCTATTTTCCCTGTTTTTTTTTTTTCTAAATATCAGTGGTAAAGTGCTAAATTATACTTTATTTCCAAATCACTGAAAATTCAGTATTTGCCCCACATAATCACTGGAATACTGTATCTTCCAATTCCAGCAAAACAAACTCTCCCAGTTCTCTCCCTGAGAAAAGGACCTCATGTTACTGACACAGCCATTGCCATGTGGTTGCAAAGAAAAGAATGGTTTCATTTGTTTACAGTTTGTTGTTAGACAACATCCTCTTCTTCTTCTTCCTCCTCCTCATCATCTTCCTTTGCAATGAAATGGAGCTTCCTGGCTTCTCGCCTGCTCCTCGTCACACTCGGGAGCACAACTGCTGGGAGATGCTGGAGGGAAAAGATCAAATCAACAAGGAAAGCCTGTGGTGGGAAATGGCAGAACTCCTACCTCCACCAGCTCCCATCCTCCCACAGGTGACACAACTTGGGGGCAGTGGCACAAACCCAAAGCTGAAGTGTGGAGCTTTGAGGGAAGTCTACCCAAACCAGATTCATGGACAGTCCCAGGGCCAGCATTCCTTCCACTGCTGTGAAGAGGACTGGCAGACAGTGAAGGGCTCCCTAACCAAATCCTCACTGCTCTGTAGAGACCACAAAAAACACCTAAAAGATGGCAGCATCACTTGCTCCAAAATTATAATTGTTCAAGGGGTCCAAATTTAAAGCTCTGGCCCTTGGATCAGTTCAAAAGCTGAGGTAGACAGAAACCAGTTTCCATTCCAAACAATCCCAATGCAGCAGGGCTGGAACTGGGTGATTTCTAATATCCCTCCAACCCAAGCTGTTCTGTAATTTTGTTAAGAACTAAAGACCACCAAAAATCTATTTTGCCAACAGTATTGTGTCTCCGTAATGTCATTATCAGTAAAAATACCTATCTCATGGAATTGGACTAAAAAGTCTAAATAAGAAAGATTTTACACCTAAATTAATTTAGCTGGGCAAGTAATTTCATCTCTGATGGAGACAATTTTATCTGGCATACAGGGCCCAACAACACTGGTCAAATTCACCAAGAGTTTTGAGGTAAATTTTAAGCAGACCAGCAGAAATAAAGGGGGGCATAAAGCAGGAACAGACTTATCATCTCACCAGCTCAACATCTCCAAAGAACCGGTGCACTGGCATGGGCTGGTTGCTGTCCTCATCTGAGAGGCCGCTGCTGTGCTCCAGGAACATCGGCCTCCGCGGGCGATCTGCGTCCTCCGAGGTGGCCCCATCGAAGCTCCCACAGCTGCTCTCCTCTTCACTGAACACGTGATAGTGGTGCAGATACCCCCCCATTTTTAATGGAGCATCACTGGGTTTCACTGTGTGTGGCTCCAGAGAAACACCAGGCTCCTTTTCCTGCTTCCCTTCATCAGTCTCTAGAATGCTTTCATCTTTTTCCTGTTGGATTATACTGCTGTCTCCTGGATCTTCTACACCTCCATCCCCATCAGATGTTTTGGGTGTTTCCCCCAGTGCAGCAAGGTTTTCACTTTCACACATGACTCCCTCTATCTCTGATTTTAGACTGCTTTCTTCGCATTTCATCCTCTTTGCAGGTTGTCCTTCAGCACCTTCATGCGATGAACACTGCTAGAAAAAAAGACAAGATCCTAAAACTCGCTTGAAAAAAAGAATAAAATCACCTTATCTCTTTAGCTGCAAGGCTTGCTTTAGAACAGAAGGGCCCCATCACACAAGTGGCATTTTGATCCAAAAGTAATTAGTAGAAAGTGCATGTAAAGAGAGAAAAAGAGGAGCAGACAGCTTACATAAACTGCAACGTACAGTCCATCACCAGCAAGCAAAAAATACTTTGCTTAGAGAATAAACTAGCACCGTACGAGGTCAACCACCATGCTCTTATTTTCTTAAGGATGATGCTAATGGGAATTACTGTGCCAGGCCTGTCATCACCCAGCAGGACGAGCGGCTAAATCTGCTCCGTATTTCTGCACTGGCACAACGACGTAGGAGGAGCAGGAACGGCGATAAATTTATTTCAATTCTCCTGATAATTCCCACATGGTGATGCTCAGATTACAGCTGTCAATAATTACCTGCGATTCCGCACTCTGCGATCCCCTGGCCCCGCGACCATTCCCCCTCCCCTCCCCACACCATCCCACCCGGCCCCGTCCCTCGTACCGGGCTCGCCGTGTCGGCTGTTTCCCCCGCGGGCTGTGCGGGGTTGGCTGCCGGGGCCGCCTTCGCGGTTCTCCGGGCCCGGTGCCGGTGCCGGTGCCGGTGCCGTGGGCGGGCCGGGCGAGCGGAGCCGCGAGTGTCCGAGCGCCTCCGGCCCCGCGCCGCGCCGCCCGCCGCCATCTTGGGCCGCGCGTGGGCCCGCGCTCGCCATCTTGTGGAGCTCGGTGCAGGAGCCCCGGGGTGAGTGCGGGCACCGCGGAACGGGCACCGGGCACCGCGGAACGGGCACCGGGCACCGCGGAACGGGCACCGGGCAAAGGGCTCCGGCAGCGGGCAACGGGCAGCCTCATTCCACCTAGTGAGGGCGCGGAGCCCTCATACACAGCAGCCCCTCACACACAGCAGCCCCTGGCTTGGACCACAGACAGCATCACCTAAAGGGAAGCCTTGGCAACGTGAGCACAAAGCAGCTCTTCACAGGTCACAGAATGGGGTGGGTTGGAAGAGACCTTGAAGATCATCCAGTCCCACCCTCTGCCATGGGCTTCACTATCTCAGTTTTCTCCAAGTGCCATCCAGCTTAGCCACAGGCACTTCCAGGGATGGGGCAGCCACAGCTTCTCTGGGCAACCTGTGCCAGGGTCATCCCAGCCTCACAGCCAAGAATTTCTTCCCAATATCCAATCTAAACCTATTCTCTATCAGTTTGAACCCATTCTTTCTTGTTCTGTCACTACATGCTTCAGTAAATAGTCTTGCTTTAGCTTTCCTGTAAGTTTCCTTCAAGTATTGGAAGGGTGCAATTACAGTTTCTGAAGGGAGTTTACTGACCTCCCTCCTAGCTGCTGCTTGGGGAAAAACCCAACCCCATCCTGCCTGAGAACTATGCAGCTTATAAACATTTGAAATCATTTGCTTCCCATTGTGTCTCACTCTGGAGCAGTGCTTGCTCCCATTCAAGACGTGGTCAGAGAGTTATTATTCAGATGTGCTTCTCTCTGCTTTCCACAGCCCTCAGGGAACAAATTATGTCAGTAACTCAAATCCCTCTTTAACTTCAAGGACTCTGAGGGTAGCAGATGAATTTCTGTGTAGTAAAGCACCCAGATTTAAGTACGTAATTATCCTGTCTGATGTTCCCAGGGAGGTGCTGCGGGGAGCAATGGCAGGTACTGGTGCCCTGATGGCCACATCCCCACAATGGGGCCCATGGGCTCCATCCATCATATTAAACACAGCTCCTTCTCCAGTTAATTCAGTGCTTTGGGGATGTTGTGGGGATTTTTATAATTCTGTCCATCTGAGGGCACAGGAGCTTGTTTCTTTATAGCAGCCTTTAATGTTCTTGCTCATTGCAGAGTCGTCCCACGAGTCTCAGTGGTACCTGTGCTCCTCCATCCAACTTGGCTGATTAAATGCTTGTCCGTTCAGCTTGGCCTTAAAAAACAGAAGCAACAATTTAAATCGCAGAAATAAGTGGCAAGACTGTACCTGTGGGGATATTCAAGAAATACATTTTTTCTCAAAAGTATAAAATCCCCCAGTTAAACCATGCAGGTTTGGAGACTTGTCTGCACGTTGTTGTGCAATTTCCCTCTGTGCTCAGGGTCCGTCTGTGCTTTGTTCTCTGGGTGAGATAATTCATATTCTTCTCCAAAACCTCCTTGCTCCACTCTCTCACAGTGTTGTTGCTTGCAGCCATGGAATACAGATGATTGTTTTTATTAGGCAGTGAAAACTTATACTGTCTTGTAAACAGCCGCAGACTAAAACTGGCTGAAAAGAGCATTTCTGCAGCTGGAAAACGTGGTTCTTGTTTTAATTTCCACAACAAACTGAAAATAGTGAGGAAAATTTAATGTTGACAATTCTAATAAATACTTTTCACAACACTGTATGTTGCTTGGGTTTTATGCTGCTTTGGAAAGCTGATGTGACTGAGCACTGAGAACGGGGTGGCAAAGCCCTGAGCAGTCTCGTAACCTTTGGTGGCCTGATGTGGGGTGAGGTACACAACTACAAGCACATGAGGCTCTGTGGGGTGGCCTTGGATAGTCACAAGGGACACAGCAGCTTAGATGGAGCTGGTATGGCAGGGCTCCCTCCAGAGCTCTCATGTCACACTCGTCCTATTTCCCCCATCATTTTGGGGGTAGGTGGTGACAATTTCACAGCTGCAGATGTTGCTGCATATTCTGAAATACGGCTGAGATAAAAACTGTCACATAGCGCAGGAAGCACCCGGGAGAGACTGTGAATCCCTCTGAGATCCATCCCCATCTCGGCAGCACTGACTCCCAAGTGACTTGAAAGGCGACAGGGGGACTGCCAACAGCCAGCAGCCCTCAGAGAGAATCAGAGAAGCACAAGCTATTTACATTAAACTCACATTTCCACATAAAAGGGGGCCTATTCTCAATATTAAAAAAAAATGGGTTATTTTAGAATCTGTTGTCTAAGCCGGCAGGGAAGAAAAAATAAAAAGAGGGTTTTGTGAGCTCCATCATTCCTGTGAAAACTGGCGGCTCTGCAGCAGCAGCTGATGAGCTTATGGAGCAGGAAGGGAGAGCCGGGCTGTGAAACTCGATGTGCAAATGAGCTTCTTGCAGCACTTGTCTCCGCGCCTGTCACTTGCACCAGTGTCCCTGTCTGTTATAATCCTCCCAGTTCATTTGGCTAAACATGACTGACATGCCAGGGACAGCAGCCAAAAAAAATGTTGCCTGTAAACATGCTGGCTGTTAACTGTTGAATGTGAGGTCTATCATACTGAAAAGCCATCCGTCAGGAGTGCTGGCTGTCCTTTTCCTGCCATGGGAAAGGTGGGTTGAGTTCAAGTGGCTGAATTCTTCTGGGGAGAAAGCAGGAGGAGAATCCATTTCCCAATAACCAGTACCAGGAGCCTTGCTCCCTGCTACATCCTTCTGGCTGCCTCCTCTGCCTCCTCAGCAGGAAGAGCTGGTCTTGTGTTGAAGATTTGAAGAAAAAATGTTTATCTGTTTAAAAATGTTTCCCTTCCATCACATGCTGTTGTCGTGCCAGCTCAGGTAATGTTGGTGAGCACCGAGACTGGATGGGGCTCTGAGTAACCTGGTCTAAGGAAGGTATCCCTGCCCATGGCAGGGAGTTAGAATTGGATGATCTTTAAGGTCCTTCTAAGCCAAACCTTTCTGTGATTCCATGATTCTATGAACTGCAAGTTTTGGGCTCACAGAGGCACTGTCCTGGGAAATTCTATGGTATTTGACACCCCACCTAAAACTGAATATTCACAAGGATCTGCAGCCCTCTGATGCAGCTGCCCTGAGCACTGCTGACCTGAAGACCTTTGCACCACTCATATGGAATAAACCCCTCATTTCCATCACAGAGGAGTGCTCACATCAGGAGCTGGTGAACCTTGACTCAGAAATCACAGGGAATTTACGGTACATAATGAAACTTTATGCTTGCCATGTGAGAAATCTCTTTGAGTCTTATTTTGGATTTCTTGCAAGTGTTTTATCAAGGACCAAACATGGAAAGGCAGTATGTGAAGAAATTAATTAACACGACAGAGCTGTACGTGGGCTTTGTGAGAAAGAGCAACAAAGAGGAAACCTGTGACATTCGTTAATGATAAACCATAAGGAACATTGTAGAACAGTGAGTGCAGAGAGCCCAGCCCAGGCTGGGGGGATGCAGTACCTGTCTGAGGGGCTGTTTGGCACCAGGCTTCTTGTGATGGGTACAGCTGGAGACACTGGAGCCCTGCCAGGACTCTTCCCCAAACCCTTGCCTGAAGCCCTGCTGCTCGTGGTCTTGTCCCCCTGCTATTGATGCTCTTCTTGTAACAATCTCTGGTGTTTACCTGGCAAATCCTTCCCAAGGTACTTCCGAACACTGCCCAGTGAATTCCACCTGCCCCAGGTCTCCTGCCCTCCTTTAACTCCTCTTGCTCCTGGCATATTGATTTTTAAAGTGTTTCACAAACCACGAGTAAATCTCTCCCAGCACAAAGCATCTCACTGGGTCCAAATCCTTACCTTTGCTTCAGGAGACTGATTACTTGGATTTTAATGATTTACTGGCAACTTGGCCAGGCTGTTAAAAAGCATCAGCTACAGAAACCTTTTTCTGGCTCAATTTAACGGCTGCAGTAACTGTAGCCGTGGGAACAGGCGCTCCCGCCCCTCCGTTTTCCGCTTTGTCACGTCGCTTTGCTACAGGCTTCAATTAGGGTTTAATTAGGGTTTAATTCCCATCGGAGTCCCCGGCCGGGGCAGCAGCTCGGGCTCAGCCGCCCGACCGACGCTGGGGGTCAGTGTGAGACCGGCGGTGTGGCCGCGCCGCTCGTGGACTCGGGGGACACGGGGGACACGGGGGACACGGGGGACACGCAGGATGGGCGACACGGGGAGATACGGGGGGACACGGCGAGATAAAGGACACGGGATAAAGGAGGGACAAAGAGTTCTCTCTGGTTCTCGTGGGAGAGGCTCAGCCCCCCCCAAGCCTATCCGCCCTCCTGGCAGGAGAACCAAATCAGGGAGGCACAGGATGGTTGGGGATGGAGGGACGTTAAGGCTTATCCCGTTCCGACCCCATGCCGTGGGCAGGGACACCAGACACTAGACCACTCTGCTACAAGCCCTGCCCAACCTGACCTTGGACACGTCCAGGGCTGGGGCAGCCACAGCTTCTCTGGGCAGCCTGTGCCAGCCCCTCACCACCCTCACAGGGAAGAATTTCTCCCTGTATTTCCCTTCTTTTAGTTTAAAGCCATGCCCCCTTGTCCTGTCAGTCCATGCCCTTGTCCATTGTCCTCTACAACTCTCCTGGATCCCTTTTAGTCTCTGGAAGGGGTTCTAAGGTCTCCCCAGAACCTCCTGTTCTCCAGGCTGGATACCCTCAGTTCTCCCAGCATTTCTCCATGGGAGAGATGTCCAGATTTTGCCTGGTTGCTTTGCTGGGCACCCCAGGGAGCTGGGGCAGTTGTGTTCTGCAGCTCTGAGTGTGCTGCTCCCAGCTGGCACAGGGGATCTTAGGAACAAACAGCTTCTCCCTGTTTCCTCCAGCCCCCCTCTGCCTGCAGACAGCTGAGCCTGGTCCTGGCATTGCCACCTTTCCCAGCTGTCAGAGGGACAGGTTGGGAACACCACACTCAGCAAGGCTGAACTTCATCCA